TACTTAAAAAAAAAATGCATAAAGTATGTTACCTGCTCTTAGTTCTGGTATCTGTCCCATGAAAAATACAGGTATATAATTAAGATATTAAATAATATAAATAATATTAGAAAAATAATACCAAGATAGAGTTTGAGATTATTTTTTCTTTAGAGTTTTAGTTGCAGACATGCAGACAAGAATTTCCACAAAAATAATCACATAATTAGATAATAACCTGTATTTCCAGCATAGTCTATGATTAAAGAGACTACAAAGGCTTTGATCCAGCATGAAATTCATACTTTTCAATACATAACATTGTAGAAGAGCACTCTTTCTCCTCATGCATTATAGTTTTATCTACTATATTGATAGACTATGGGCTTGTCTTCTTGAATTAAAAACCTGTGAAAAAAATAGAATTTTAGTGTGTGATCCACCCCTTATATCCTCTGCAATATGTGGTCTGTCATTAATAAATTTATGCATAGCTGCTGTCAGTACGACTCTCAAAATTAATTTCTAGAAGGTTCCTCTATCTGGCTGAAGATTAACCTGTAACTGCTACAGATGATCTATGATAGCTATCATCAATAGGTAACAAAATCAGCCTTAGTTTATAACAATGAGATTTCTTTTGCTCACACAAAAGAGGAAATAACTTGATTATTATAAAGTTGATAGAAAGAGATCTGGCCAACAGCTGGAGGAAAAGAATGAAAGTCAAATCTCTTGAGTTCTGATCCCTCTCTTTTTCTGATTACTTTTAGACAAATTTTGTAGGAATGGAAGCAGAAAAGGAAACAGCATTGTCATTGCCACGCTTAAAATTCTCTACTGTCTTTAGCTCTGAGTTAAATGCTTCCTACACACAGCATCTGAGGAGAGTTAGGAGTCTGAAACTGGTTACCTGGCTGCACAAAAACATAGATCATAGGTTTACTCCACCGGCAGTCAGAAAGTAAAAGAAGCTCAGGAGAAAATGGGGACTCAGCTCCCCGAGGAGCAGAGCGCTTGGCATCGGGGCTAGAGGGAGGTGCCAGGGGCCCCAGCTTTCTCCCAGTGCTGGATGCCCAAACTGGGTTTGCTTTTCCTGCACAAGTGGTGCTGGAGTCCAGGGGAGCTGCGTTCTTCTCCCCTCCTGAAATTCTTCTCAGGAAAGTGGAGGCTGTGGGCTTCCGTTCCAGTGCTACGGCAGGGAAGGAGCAGAAGCCCCCTCTGCCTGCCTGAATGTGCCAGGGGCTGGTTTGTGGTGGGACCCCCCATCAGATGGACCCTGCTTGTGTTTTTTGTGCGGGGCGTGTGTCCCTGCTGGGCTGACCGGTGGCAAGAGTGAGGAAGGTGCATCTAGGCTTGTACTGGTGATTTAGACTCTGAACTACTTGCCCTTTCACGGCCTGTGTAATTGCAGGCATATCCAAAAGCTCCCCCTTGAAGTTTAAGTTCACAGAGAATATATTGACCAGGGTGAAGCAGCAGTTGCAAGGGTGTGTGAAAGGCTTAAATTTTGTACCTGAATCCCCACTGCAGCATTTAGCCCTAAATACCTCTTTTCCCAGGAATGCTCTTTGTTCAGTAACAGAGCTTTCTGCTTTCCTGCCCCTTCTGATCCTGGTGATAACGTACCACATATGCGGTTGAAGAAGGATTATAATTCCTTTTTCAGGTATCCAGTGAGCATTCCAGATTCAACATTTTCATTGCCTTATACTGCTCGAAAAAAAGATCAAGAAATAGAAAACTATCCAAAACTAATACCTCTGCAAATGCCTCGGTGTTCAGGAAACAAATTTACCTAATTTTTAGGTCCCATTTATTCTAACTGGGCCAATAATCAGTTATTAATAAACAGCTAACTCATTCCTAGCAGAGACTAAATGTGGATCTAAACAAGGAAACCTAAACTGAAATGTTGTCATGGTGATATACAGGCAACTAAGCAAGCAGTGCAAAGCTCCTCTTCCTAGGAGACCTGAGAGACTAGCTCAAATTTTTATCTGTCATGGTTAATTTATCATTTCACTGAAACAGTTGTCAACATGCAAAGTGTGTAGAAGGCTTGTAACAGGTACCTTTTGTTTTTCCAGGCACAACAGATTTTGTTTCTAAATCACAATTTCAGATTCAGCCTTACTTAAAGAGGAAAAAAAATATTTGGGGGAGATGGTTATTTTTAGCTTTTTACTATTTATAAAGGTGATTAAATATTGAGATTACTTCCTTTTAAGCATGCCATCATGAGGCCACATACTGTGGTATGTTTGACATACTGATTTCTCCAAGAAAGAAAGATAGGAAAGTAAACCATTGCAAAATTTATGCATGCACATTCCTAGATTAAAAAGCTGGTGGTCACAGAGCAGAAAAGACGTGTTATCATTCTTGGAGCTACCGTTTGTATGGAAGGGAAAATAAGGACTCATCATCAGCATGTGACTTAATACACAACAGTTAATTAAGTATTGGTTTTAAAGTAATTTAAGACTTAAAAATTATTTATTTTCAGTGTTCCATACACTAATTTCATTGTTAAAGACAAACCATTCAATTTCAGTGTTTGTTGGGGTAAGCTCTTGTGCTGGGTTCAAATGTCTCTGAATTAGAAGTATATGACTACTCTGGTGAACTGTTGAGATTCAATTACTTAATAAGTTAATTTCCCACCTCAGTAAATTCAAGAAAACATGGCAAATGTTGGGCTAAGCAGAACAACTGGTTATTTACATCTGCATCTCTTAAAAAGCAATGACAAGAGTTCAGAAAAATGGCTACAAAATAGTTCAATTAAATTAATTGGAGGTACACAAAAATACATTTAAATAAATGTCACACTATCTTGATTTATGGCTTCCCTTTAAACTTAGACAGACTTTGCATGCTACCACTCTAAAATTAGGGAAGACATCATTACTTTGACATAAATTGAGGTGCCACAAGTAGTTCATGAAAGTTTCAAGTAGTTTCATGAAACGCAGGTCTGGCTTGACCAACCCAATCTCCTTCTATGACCAGGAGACCCACCTAGTGGACGTTGTCTACCTGGACTTTAGGAAAGCCTTTGACAGCGTCTCCCACAGCATTCTCCTGGAGAAACTGGTGGTTTGTGGCTTAGACAGGTATATTCTTTGCTGGGTAAAGAACTGGCTGGATGGCTGAGCCCAGAGAGTTGTGGTGAATGGCATTAAATTCAGTTGGCAGTGGGTCACAAATGGTGTTCCCCAGGGCTCAGGTTTGGGGCCCGTCTCGTTTAATATCTGTTGATGGTCTGTATGAGGGGATTGAGTGGTCCCAAGTTTGCAGATGACACCAAAATGGGCAGATCCCAGAGATCTGCTGGAAGGTAGGAGGGCTCTGCAGAGGGGTCTGGACAGGCTGGATCAATGGGCTGAAGACAGTTGTATGAGGTTTAACAAGGCCAAGGGTTGGGTCCTGGACTTGGGTCACAACAATCCCATGCAATGCTACAGGCTTGGGGAGAATTGGCTGGAGAGCTGCCCAGCAGAAAAGGACCTGGGGGTGCTGGTTGACAGCCGGCTGAACAGGAGCCGGCAGTGTGCCCAGGTGGCCAAGAAGGCCAACAGCGTCCTGGCCTGTATCAGAAATAGTGTGGCCAGCAGGAGTAGGGAAGTGATCGTGCCCCTGTACTCGGCACTGGTGAGGCCACACCTTGAATCTTGTGTTCAGTTTTGGGCCCCTCACTACAAGAAGGATGTTGAGGTGCTGGAGCGTGTCCAGAGAAGGGCAACGAAGCTGGTGAGGGATCTGGAGCACAAGTCTTATGAGGAGTAGCTGAGGGAACTGGGATTGTTTAGTCTGGAGAAGAGGAGGCTGAGGGGAGAACTTATCGCTCTCTACAACTACCTGAAAGGGGGTTGTGGTGAGGTGGGTGTTGGTCTCTTCTCCCAAGTAACTAGTGATAGGACGAAAGGAAATGGCCTCAAGTTGCACCAGGGGAGGTTTAGATTGGCTAGTAGGAAAAATTTCTTTGCGGAGAGAGTGGTCAAGCATTGGACCAGGCTGCCCAGGGAGGTGGTGGAGTCACCATCACTGGAGGTTTTCAAAAAACATGTAGACATACTGCTTAGGGACATGGTTTAGTGGGCATGGTGGTGCTGGGTTGACAGTTGGACTTGATGATCTTAGAGGTCTTTTACAACCTTAATGATTCTAAGATTCTAGTTCAGCACCACAATAAGAGCCTGGTTTTCTCACGTTTACAGTCTGAAAAAAGCACAATAATGACAGTGAAGTACAGACACTGCTCCTGATTATTCTTTGCTCTCTTAAACCAGCAGGATGCTGTATGAGGGTGGGGAGAGTCAAGCCCAGCCATATGTAGCACCCTCTAGGGTGTTTACTAGTTCACTGTAGTAAAGTGAACAAAGTGGATCTGGGAACCTCGCTTTGCAAGGGATTCCCCACCTCTTCGTAATTATCTCCATGGGAGATGGCTGTTGCCATTAAGCAGGCTGGAATCACGGGCTGTGAGTGCTGAGTAGAAACAGGAAGGTCCTTAGAAGTTTCTGTCATGATACTTCACTTCGGAAATGTTGATATTAAACAAAAGTGTTAGAAGGAAAACGTCCACAGTCAGGCTATGCAGGAACTCAGCTGGCATGGGGTTTAGATGACATTTCTAATAGAAGTGGAGTGTGGTTATATTGGCTTTTCTAATATTTGATTTTATTTCTTACAGAAAATTATTACAGTTCTATTACCTGTAACTTCCTATTATTTTTTCTCTATTGAGCCTTTATTAGTTTTAAAGTTAATGAATTATTAACTGCATTTTTTATATGAATATAACTAAAAGGTATTACTGTATTTTTCCCAGTGACAGGCATAGTTAACAACATCCTTTCTGTTTTATTTTGAGAGTTGTACAAATGCCTGGGGAAAAATAATCATTGCCTATTAATACCTCAGGAAGCCAAAATTCATGTTTGCATCAGAAGGAAGCTCTACAAACTCACCACTCCTATAATGTACCATTTCATGGAGAAAAGCTGCATATTTACCCCTTTTATGTAGAAGAATACTGGCATGTCGGCGTCCATTTCCATTCTCGACGTAGCATGAGTAATTCCCCAGGTCTGCCTCTTCCACAGAGTCAAGAATCAGTGAGATGGAAACCTCCTGTTCCCCAAGGTGTTCCTTGAGAACCCTAAGAAAAAAGTGGCCATCACTGCTATTCTGCTTGTATCATAGCGGAACATTAGATAATCGTGACCTAATAATGCTACTTACAATTCACAACTCTCTGGCTTCAAATTTGTCTATGGTTTGATGAAATCTTAATTAAATTATATCGTGCTCTTTTGTTCCTCACTTCTAATGAGGTGGTTTGGCTTTGTAAATGTTAATAAGAGTTCAGTTAATTGTATTCTTTAAGCAGGATGATATGCACACTGATAATATATTATTTCACACTCTGATGGAGACCCTGATCAGTAGTGTGTGAAGCCTTGAAATGTTATAAGAGAGAAAAGTGAAAACAGCTATTTTGGGGTTTAGGGTCACACTAGGAGTCTGAGCCAAAGACACTGTTTGTGCAATTACTGAGGGTCTTCAACACGTCACTCAGAAACAGTGTGTTCATGCCAGGGTCTGAAAAATTATTTCTTGAATGTGTTATAAAATTTGACTGTGTATTAAAAATCAGTAGAAAGAACTGGCATACCAGATGTCATTTATTCATATAGGTTATAAATAAAAGAAAAGATCTCCTGCATAAGACTCCACCTGTCTTTGAATTTCTTTCTTTACCTCTTAGCATGCCCGTCAGTGGTTTTAGAAATCCAGCAAGGCAAATGACAAACCTCTCTAGGCTGCTCCCTCACATCACACTTGAAAACAGAATTGGAAACCAGCCTTCCTGCTCCTCCCTCCACAAAACATGAAAGTTGTAATGAGGTTCTTATCACTTTTTTATTAGCCTTCAGAATGTCAAGTCTCTGGCTGAAAGGCTTAGGAACAGCTTTAGATGTGAAACACAGCTGATCTGGTTGTCATGTGCCATTTAGTGTGTTGTTTTTGAGCTTTGTAGAATAACTGTACACTGTTGTGAAATATGCTTCCATTTTGCTATATCTGGGGACATGGGGATGACCTTGAATGTCTATATGGCCTTCTTGATTTTGGTAAAGGAATTGTCTCTGTTACTTTGTTTACACTCAAGAAGTCCAAGGTTAACCTGAAAATGAGTGTGACTTCATGTCTTCTGAAGAGCTAGTAAACTCCTATGCAAGAGGTGAAGTGTAAATAAGCTCATTTTGTTCTGTTATAGACAATCACTGTAGATAACACATCTGTAACTATTTACCTTCCTTTGTAATGCACATTTAGATTTGCATTCATCTGGGTTTATCCATGATATATAGGTGCAGTGATATACACACATACAGAATTATAAATGGAAAAGGAATCTCTTTTGGATCCAGGTAGATACTTCGTATTGTATAGGAGTTGGTATGCTATGTCAGGCATGTAATTCTCAATACAAAACCATTTTTTCTTAATTTCCAAATGAGGCAGCACTTTTAGGAGCAGGAAAAGTACATGACGTGAATTGCCAGATCCTCTCTGAAACAAGTATTTCAGCAGATATAAGCAGCCCACGTAACAAGATGCTTGGCTCTCACAGGCCAGATAACATCCCAGGAAAATAATTTTCCTTGAAGTAACGAAGGCAAAACATGCCAAAGTCAGACTTCAGCATTTATTTAAGGCTCCGTATTTTAAAAGACTTCTTTTGATCTGTTTTCTTTGATGTATTTATTTTTCTTTATTTCATCTTACTAACTGCCTTAATGCTTCTTATCGTAGATTGCCGCAGTTTGAAAAAGTCACTATGCAAATTCCCGTCAGTTATACTATGGTCCTTGTCAGGCAGCTGTTCTACTTTTGCAGTCTCTAACATCAGATCTGGTGTGCATTTTCTGTTCTCTACTGGTGGAGTTGGAAAGGTAAAGAACAGATGTTGCAAACTAGGAATCAGACCCAAAGTGTTGCTGAGTTAATCTGCAGTAACAAATATTACATTACCTATCAAAAAAAGATATTGACTGAAAAAACCAAAATGTTCTTTCTTTTACCTGATGTCACTTTCCCAGACTCGACTATCATCCAAATCTTCAATAAACTTCTCCCCTTTCATCCAGTAGATTAAAGGACTGACATCTCCACTATATCCAAAGAAAGCTCGGCAGGTTAGATTAGCAGAACTGCCTGTTACAAAGAACGTAAGAAAATATATTATTTCAAAATTTGTAAATAAAGTTTCATTTTTGAATCAGTTGTTTTTGTTGATTAAAAAAAATATATCTGTAGAGATGATGTTGAAAATGTCCAAAAGTATCTACTTGTCTTGCTACTGGTGTTCAATATATTTTCTGAAAAAAATGCAATAAAAATGAAATCAAACATTACGTAAGAACAGGATTCAATTTTGTATTCACCAAGTTTTCTATGTTTGGTGAGCAAATCAAAGACTTTTTTTTTTCAAAAAGAGCTAACTTAACCAGAGTTCCATGTTTTCTCTGAAAACAGATACAGGTTAGGTAAAATAAATGTGCAATCACATCCGTGTTAGTTCATCTTTGCAATGGTTTCTGAAAGAGGCTGATAGATTCCTGTAGGGTACCATTTTCAAGGGACAGTCAGTAGAAAGATGTGTGCTCATGGCTAAATGATTTTAGCAGGAAAGTATCAAACACTGAATCTTGAAAAAAGAACACAGGTGAACTCATTCTGCACATTGTGGGACACATCTCGCCGTATGAATGGAAATAACCATTAGGCACATGCAGCAAGGAGCAGAAATTCTATATATGTGAAGCATTACTTATTTAATTGTTATGGTGAAAATTAAAAATGTAATATGCCTTCACTTTGATTTATTTTCATTATGTAGTCTTACATTTTATTAGTACCATTTGGCTTTAGGGTTTCAGCTAGAGCACATACATGGATTGAAACAGTACTTCACACACATTTTGTGTTTTGGTAAGATCGGATAAAACTAGAGGATGCCCATATAGTTAAAGATGTCCCAGTCACTGCTGTAAAGATGTTTGTCTCAACGTGCACCAACTCTTCTAAACTGCTATGTGTATTTCTTTAGTGAATAATTATACAGTGATTTAAGGAACTGTTGTAATTTAAGGAGTGTTTTTCTCCCCCCTGAGGAGAGTATTTTCATGGAGTTTATATTACTGCTGAGACAAAACTCATATTTTATTTACACTTTCAATTTTTGATCTTAAGATGGCAAAGCTGACTGACCACAGCTCCTGGGGAAAAAAAAGATGCATCATTAATACTACTTCATTCTGTACCAAGATGCCATGAGAAGTCCATCCAGTTTCAATGAATTTCCTTAAAAATACATTGCTTTGGGTCAGGACCTGGTTCTTCTCAAACATTACATTTATATTTGAACATATCATTTACTTTTTAATATGGAAACAAATGCAGGATGCTGTATAACAAGAAGATGAGTAATTATTAATAAATGTCTTATCTAAAATGATTTGTGGTTTTCTGTAAAAACATCTGACTCCTCTCTCTGGCTTGAACTCTCACATCTATGCCGTAAAAGGTGCAGAATCAAATGTTTGTAATAAAAATCTGCAACATCGAGGCAAGCACCATCTCCGTTGTTTTCACAAGCTGTTTAGGAACTGAGTTTCTTTTAGTCATTTCATGAACTTTGGTTAGTGCCACACTCTTTGCCAACAATGCCTTCTAAGGAGACAGGAGTAGCCCAGAACTTAAAAATAGGATAGAGAGCAGGGTCTCATTCGTAATCAAAAGGTATGAAATCGTATCTCTGACTAATGAGACATTTGATAATCTCATCTCATTTAGTTACCAAATGTAATATTCAGTGAGAGGGCAAAAACTCTCTTTCTAAAGACAACCACAGCTCCTGTTTTCACACCCTGGAGAGCAATGGTCAGGACACCTCCTTGGAAACCCACCTCCTTGAAATGGATCTCTACACAGTTCCAGAATTGCCATTTGGAAGCACTGGCGTGAAAGATTTTTGAAATCTTGAAGCCATTTGCAGGGAATGAGATGAGCATTGGGACACAGCTTAATGTGAGTCAAGTGCATGAAAACCTGTAATGGAACATGACAAACTTCCTGGTTGTGCCCAGGACATTTTAACAGATGCAAACCCAGTTTCTTATAGCAGTTGCATAGCAGATATAAACTAGGATTTTTTTGTCATCATAATTATGGTAAAAGAACATGTGAAAATGAAAATACAAAACCTTAAACGATTATTAGTATCTTGTCCACAGTCATCCAATTTCGCACATGTTCAGGGCTGTGAAATGCCTAGTACTGCAGTATTGGTGGACTCTGATCACTCTCAATATAGGAGGTTACCTGCACATCTAGAGCAAAAGCAGGTTCTTGTGATAAATGGACAACCCCTATGACATTATCTACCAGTCTTGGAGGGAAGAGTGCTAACTAATGCATCACCGCTACTTCTTGGGCTTTTTCTGGAACTTTCCCGGTCCAGAAGCTGGAGCTTCAACCAAGTCAAGGCCTGGTTGAAACTTTCTAGCTTTTAAGAGCTGGCAAGATCACAGCTAGAGGGACTGTAACTTGTGGTCAACTTATCCATGATTCACAGAGATTAGGCACCACAGGTGCTGAACCATCAAAGCTCTCCAGGATCCTGCAGCTCACTGGCACCCACTGAGAGGTGATTTTTGCACTGTGCAGCCTCTGAGACTTTTGCAGCTGAATATTAATGTGCATGGGGTTGTTTTTTTAAAAAGAAACATCTTTTTTAAGGGCAAAAAATGTCAGAAAAAAAGATTGTGTAAGATTAAGGCTTTTGTATTCATTAAATTCATAAAGAAATTCCCCCCTAAATAAAATATGTAAACATATTTTTAAACGTAGAATCCAAAGTTTCTATTCAACATGAAATACTTGAGAAATAAATTAGCACCTGAGAAATAAATTAGGAAGGTTATAATGCCTCCTAGTACTACTGTGTCTATTGCAGTCGCTGAGAAAAGGCCATTAGCATGCCGGGTGTTCAGCTATAAATTACCTATACTGTCTACCTTGACCAGTCTTGACAATAAGTAAGTTCATTAGCAGGTCATCAAGAAAGATTCAGTGACCAGTTAATGACCAACTGTGACCATTAATGAGGAGGTCTGTTACTCAAGAGCTCTTTGCAGAGGGCAGTGGAGTTCACCTGGTGGAGCTGAGGTGCTCACAGCTGCAGGCACATGTAAGTAGTAGACAAAGGCCGACTGAAGGGCAATATTAGGAGTGGACAGAGTATTTTGGGAGCACATCTTGATCTCTGTTCCAGAGCTGCCCTCATGTGAGTGAGTGAATGCTGTAGGATGGGTTGCATTGTTCCCTAGAAGGGCACTTTTGAAGTGAGTAGACAGAGGATATCTAGTTTGGCACCGAGTGTCTGCTCTGCATGTGCAGTCTGTTTTTAAGAAGTCTGTAGATTTCTAGAAAGCATGCAAATGCAAAATTTACGTACATAAATACAAGAGCTGCTTTGCTTCATGTTTAAGCTAATGTATAAAACAACCTGTCAGCCAATTAATAGAAGTCACTCAGAGTTAACACTTCACAACTATTTCTCTCTATGTGTTTTCTGTGCTGAGAAAAACTGTAGAAGTGATTTGAAAACTGTACAAGTTTGATGAATGCTTTCTATGCCATTAATTTAAATTTTTGTGTGAATGATGAATTATTACAGATCTATAGTCTACCTTTGAAGGAATGTAAATACATGTTTTAAATTAACTACACATTTTAAATTAAATTACTAGGGAAATTCACCTCTCTCTCTGTCCCCTTTGCTGTGAAATGTTGTAAATTGTTGAGAATGTTCTGTCTAAAGTTATGTCCTGGGTAAACTGCTTTTTTATGGACCCTGGAAAAGCCCAAAGGCGTGATATTAGAATTATTGAGTGAAACTGATAGTGTTGGTGTTTTTATTAACACCCCACCAAAAAAACCCAAACAAAACACCCTCAAGAAAGGGTAAAGAGAAAAATGGCACTTTTCACTTCTCAGTATAATTACATTTTTTTACTGTGAAATAAATACAATAACGACATGTAAGAGAACACCTAAAAAGTAAGCCTCAACTGCATATTTCTCCATCACCGTTATTTTTGAAGATGTATATGCTCTTACTGTATTATGTATCTTACTTTTGTAAAAGTTGGAATATATAGCACTACATGTTCCTGCTGCTTGCTGTGATAAAGTTGCACTGTCAACTCTAGCCAACTGGGTTCAAGCTAAATTAATCAAAAGCTCTTTGCCATCTAAACTGAGAACAATTTTTGTTGTACGGTATGCTTTCAAGTCGAGCAGAGTGCAAGGAGGGACCACAACAAAGTGCACTTCCTTGTAACGAGAAAATCCCTTCAGCAGAGCAACACACTGTTTTATGTCCATTTTCTCTACTTGGCAACGTTTAGGGCACTTTGCAAACTACTGTTATGGGAGCCTATGTCCAGGAGAGGGCACTGTCTAACTTCGAAACATTAAAAAAAAAAAAAAATTCCTAGTGTATAAGCTCTAATTAAAAACACCAGCCTGCTAAGAACCTGCTAGTTGTAATTAGCAAATAGTGAATGTTTCGTAGTTAGTGAAATGTCATGTTCTATGGCCAGTCTAAATTACACTTGCACCATTAGTCATACAAGTTAGCATACCCTGTGATGGCACCTGTTCTAGCCTTTGATTTGATAGATTCTTCACTAAAGGACAACCATTTTTGTTGGAAGCAATGATAATTATCAGACATCTTCTGCAACCTCTTTTTAGAAGAATCCTCGAAGATGTATTATGGAAGTGAAGTGCTTGAGAGCCATGCTTAGCATCTAGTAATATTGGGGGCCAAAAGAGTGGAAATGTTAGGTGTACTGAAATATGGGACTTTCTTTTACTGTACAATGTAAATAATTTATAAAACTTATGCACAGGCAATACCTACACACTTGTAAGTACGCCATTTATTTGTAATTTTAACACTTCAAAATGAAATTATAAAAGGCCAAGGCAGACGCAATCAAAATCTCTCACACATGAATTAAATACCATTCTTTCTGCTCACGTTAGAGAAAAAGTACTGACAAAATATCAGTCTTCGAAGTGGAGGGTTATAAAAGCTGTTAACTTCCTAGGTGTGACAGATAGGTGGAGATTCCTCACAAAAT